ACCACAACATTACAACTTTCATCACTACTTCAAGTATTGTTACATCTGGTCACACACACTAATTAATGGGAAGACTTCTACCACAACATTACAACTTTCATCACTACTTCAAGTATTGTTATATCTGGTCACACACACTAATTAATGGGAAGACTTCTACCACAACATTAAAACTTTCATCACTATTTCAAGTATTGTTACATCTGGTCACACACGCTAATTAATGGGAAGACTTCTACCACAACATTAAAACTTTCATCACTATTTCAAGTATTGTTACATCTGGTCACACACACTAATTAATGGGAATACTATAACTACCAGTCTTTATTAATTAACCCTATAACTACTAGTTTTTATTAATTATCGCTATAACTATGTCTTTTTATTCTAATATCAAAGTTTATGTAAAATATTTCAAATTCTAATTAATGTTATCTCAAATATATTTTATAATTGATATTTTGTTACTAAGTAATTTTTATTTAGTGTAATTGTTAAAGAAAAATAAAAAGTTTTAACTTTCATTTCTATGCAGCTCCATGAGCCTCTGCTGAAACAATATATTTATCAACTTTTATTAGAATTTTTTTCACTTACCACAAAGCATTTACATGTGATATGGCTTCTCTATCAGTGATTTTATCACTACACCCCCTTGTTACCACCCCTTTTAGGATATGATAGAAAATGCTCTATATTAACAAAATACAGCTTTGAAAATGGTACAGCCAATACATAAAAACTATTGGACAGAATAGATAATCCAGCTTTAAAAATGGTACAGCCAATACATAAAAACTATTTGGACAGAAGAAATAATCCAGCTTTAAAAATGGTACAGCCAATACATAAAAACTATTGGACAGAAGATATAATCCAGCTTTAAAAATGGTACAGCCAATACATTAAAAACTATTGGACAGAAGAGATAATCCAGCTTTGAAAATGGTACAGCCAATACATTAAAAACTATTGGACAGAAGAGATAATCCAGCTTTGAAAATGGTACAGCCAATACATAAAAACTATTGGAGAGAAGAGATAATCCAGCTTTGAAAATGGTACAGCCAATACATTAAAAACTATTGGACAGAAGAGATAATCCAGCTTTGAAAATGGTACAGTCAATAGATAAAAACTGTTGGACAGAAGAGATTATACTCTATTTGTGTCAATGACTAGTAAAAATGTGGTCTGAGTTGTAATTTGTGGTTTCTTGAGATACTGGCTACAACACCTTTAGGGGTGAATAAAAGAGTAGTACAAAATTTACAACACTTGAAAACAAATCACAAATCTGGGAACTTTGTCATATTTTTCTTTTAAACAGTTATTTGTTCCTACAAATGTTTTAGTGTTAAAATATATCTGTTTCAAAGCTAAAGAAATGCTATGTTTTTAACTAAAAATAATAAATGTATTGCACATTGGAACCAACTCAACAGTATAAGTGAAGAAAAATATTTTGGCATATTGGTGGATAAGTTACTCAAACAATCAAAGTAGTGCTCTGTTGTTAGTTAAACTAATAGAATTTTAGGGCTTACTGAAGACATCAAAAGATGTAATTATCCAGGTATCAACTTTAACTTTTGAAGGCACTAGGAAACGGTTGCTAAGTATTTTTTTCCATACTAGCAAATTCAGGATTGCTACCAGCAACATTATTTTTCTCAAAACATTAATTGAAACTGTGTCATAATTGTTTCCTGTATTAATAAATATGCATACAAATTGTCCGAAAAGTCTGGAACCACGGGTGATTTGTAGCTTTTCTTAATTTCAGATACATGACTGATTATGGTTCTGTCAAAGCATGAGGTTGTGTTAATCCTACTGTTAATCCAAACTTGTTTCTAATTACAAGGACAGCATGTGGAACACACACTGCAAAATTCATTGAAGTGCCCATGGTTCTAGACTTTTTGGACATCCTGTATATTCTACCCAAATGTACACATCTTCAGTGTCACATTTCTTTTTTAATTATTTTTTTAATATCAAACTCATTTTAATAACATGTAACAGTGAATATTTCACAAGAGTTAAAAGATGCTTGATTTTGGGCAGAAACTGTTGTATCTAATCCACCAACACTTGAACCAACAAAGTTAACAGTACCCAACTGCTGACAGCCATCCTAAACTAAAAACATTATGGTATATAAATACTAAAAGCTGGTGAAGCATTATAAGAAAATAGGCCTAGCATTTATGTTAATCATGGACAAATTATGAAGAATATGGAAAATAAAATTATCTACAGTTTGCAATTTCTGTTTGTTATTACCTTTAATGTGCAATCACAGTATTTCTAACCACGATGCTGATGAAACTGCACTGCCAGGTAGCTCATATGGTGTCCAAAAGACTGTTAATCTGTTGTAACCTTTTTTCCCAAAACCTCGCAGTATAAATGACTGAAATGCACGTATCACAGATGTTTGGGTAAATTGATACATGACAGTAAGAACCTACAAATCTTCTTTCAAAAATGTGTACTGGCAATTTTTTTTGGTGTCTTCTGAATTTTACTAGCATTAACCTCAAACCCTGTTATACCTCTATAAATTCACTAGTTAGGCTTCATTTGGAATACAGTGCACAGTTTTAGTTTCTTTATCTGAGAAAGTATATTGACTCATTGAAAAAAAAGGTTCAGAGGAAGGCTAGTAGGATGGAATTACAGCAATAGGTTAAGATCTTCTATTTTCTCTTGAGTAAAAAGTGTCAACATGATCTTATTGAAGCTTACAAGATTCTCTAGTAGATTGATACAATAAAGGCCTCTGATTTCCTTCTGTTGTGTTTAGAAGACAGCAGGACATAAAGGCCTCTGATTTTCTTCTGTTGTGTTTAGAAGATAGCAGGACATAAAGGCTTCTGGTTTCTTTCAGCTGTGTTTAGAAGACAGCAAGACATAATGGCTTCTATTTCTTTCTGTTGTGTTTAGAAGATAGCAGGACATAAAGGCTTCTGGTTTCTTTCTGCTGTGTTTAGAAGATAGCAGGACATAAAGGGTTCTGGTTTCTTTCTGCTGTGTTTAGAAGATAGCAGGACATAAAGGCTTCTAGTTTCTTTCTGCCATGTTTAGAAGATAGCAGGACATAAAGGCTTCTGGTTTCTTTCTGCTGTGTTTAGAAGATAGCAGGATGTAAAGGGCTCTGGTTGTTTTCTGCCGTGTTTAGAAGATAGCAGGATGTAAAGGGCTCTGGTTGTTTTCTGCCGTGTTTAGAAGATAGCAGGATGTAAAGGGCTCTGGTTGTTTTCTGCCGTGTTTAGAAGATAGCAGGACAAAAGGACACAAGTTTAAAATTAGAAAAAAGGCAGTCAGTATCCAATTACAGTTTTATTTTCATAACAGGGTAATTGTTTTATTGCCATAATCAGTAGTGGAGGCCAGCATTTTACAGAATTTAAAGGGGGGTATTAAGTAGTACATTAACTTTTCTCCATTTGCAAACATAATAGATTTTTCTTAATGCTAGTGTTTTGACTTCAGTTGAAACACTATATATGGTATGACAGATTTACAGTTCAGGATATAGATATTGTAACTGCCAAAAAAGGACATTAAAAGCAGATCCATAACCTGAATTTCAGCTAAAACACATATATATAACCTGAATTTTGGTTTCAGTT